TGTGCGACACCGGTGCACGGGGATTTGGGGGTTTGGTGGAGCTGGACACCCCCAGCCCTTTGTCTGGGGGTCGAGATGCAGCCGAGCATCCCTGGGGAGGGCCGGGCTGGCATCCCCCACGCTCCTGCCGGCCGCGGTGCCTGCAGGGGCTGCTCCAGCCTGGGCGGCCGGACCCCATGGGGATGCTGCAAGAAACCCCCCTGCCCGCTGAGCTGCCTGAATCCCTGCCTGCAACCTCCCTCTTCCCCTAGACTCCGATATTTATGCTGAAATCCCTGATGAGTCTTCAAGACCGAGGTCTGGAGGTAGGTGCCACCCCCCTGGGTGCCCTCTTGCCCATCTCCCAGCACCCCAACCAAACCCTCCCACCTTCTCCTGCCCACCCCAATTTCCCCCCAAAGCTAGGAAGGAGGTTTTGCCTGCACTGCCCCGAGGGGCTGAAGGAGCTGGGATCACCCCATGAGCCACGGGGCGGGAGCTGGGGGTCCTTGCCGAGAGGGTGATGGAGAGGGTTGGTACCCAGGAATCAGCCAACATCTCCCGCTTAGCATGGGGGCTCTGCCCACGGAGCGGGCAGGGGTACAGGCAGCTTTCTGCCCGCTGGTGCTGCCATCTCTGCCCTGCTCCCCTCTCTGCGAAGTCCAGCACTACGGGATCTCCCGGGAGGACGTCACGTTGGGCAGGATCCTCGGGGAAGGCTTCTTCGGTGAGGTCTACGAGGGGATCTACACCACCCCGGTGAGCGTCCTGCCCTCTCCCTGCCCTGCCTGCCTCCTCCGCGGCCGGGGGGAGCACGGTAAAGCCGCCCCCACCCCTCCTTCTCCTTGCAGAAAGGGGAGCGGGTCAACGTGGCTGTGAAGACCTGCAAGAAGGACTGCAGCCCGGAGAACAAGGACAAGTTCCTGAGCGAAGCGGGTACGCCGGGGGGTCCTGCTGCCCTTCGGGGGGGACAGAGCCTGCTCCGCCCCCCACCCTGGGGCTTGCATTGGCGGGGCGGAGGGGGGGGGGG